TTCTTATCGACATAACTCTTTTGTTGACTTTGAGCCGTAGTTAACCTCTTTCGAATGAGAGCAACTTTCTTAGTCGTCTCTCTAACAATCTCTGGGCCAAACATCGGTGCATCACCCACCTCGGCCCAACAAACTGGTGATCTATAAGGTCGGCCATACAAGGCCTCGAACGACGGTATCCCTGATACTAGCCTGATAACTATTGTTATAGGCGAACTCAGTCAACGGTAGGTGCCTCTCCCAAGACCCCTTAAAGTCAAGGACACAAGCTCTAAGCATGTTCTCCAAAATCTGAATGATACGCTTTGAGTGTCCATCGGTCTGAGGATGATAAGCGGTGCTAAGGGTCAACTTAGTTTCCAACGCCTCTTGAAGGCTTTGCCACAACCAACAGTGAAATGAGTCTCTCTATCTGAGACAATGGTCACATGGACCCCACGAAATCGAATTATGTCTCTAATGTACAACTTTTCCAAATAATCAACTGAGTCACCGGTGTGTATAGGAATGAAGTGCATAGACTTAGCCAACCTATCAACAATCACCCAAATGGCATCATTGCCCCATTGAGTTCTAGGAAGCCCAACTACAAAATCCATGGTAGCATACTCCTATTTCCACTCAACTATAGGTAAGGGTTGCAGCAAACCCACTAGCTTTTGGTGCTCGGCCTTCACTTGCTGGCAAGTAAGGCATTTCAAAACAAATAAGGCGACATCTCGTTTCATACCCTCTATCAAAACTGATGACTAAGATCATGATACATTTTTTACCTCCCAAATGCATCGCGAGGCATGAGTGATGCGATTCTCGAAGTACTTCCTCTCTACAAGATTCTAGCACAAGAAAACAATCTAAGTACCTTACACTCAAATATGAGTGGATATTCAAACTATTCTGAAAGGTTTATCATCAGAGAGAGAAAAAAAAAGAAAAGAAAAAACGAATAGAGAGAGAAAGAGAAAGTGAAACATGTAAAGAGAGAGAGAGAGAGAGAGAGAGAATTGAACACAGAGAAAACAAGAGAGAAAGAGTCGTGATTTGGGGTTTGTGACTGGATAGAATTTCAACCTCAATCTCGACTTTCAAGACCTTCTTACAATCTGGGTTGTGAATCTTGGATTGATTCGAGTTCGCAGATGATTCGTGTGCTTGAATCAATTTGGGTTATGAATCAAATCTAAGTTCGCAGTTGACTTTGATTTTCAAGCTATCAGGGCTGCACGAAGTTGTTCTTAGACTCGAATGATGTTGGGTAAGTGCTTCAACTTCTTCATTTTTCCAATTTCTTGTTTCGACTTCACCCTCTTTCTCTCTCTCTCTTTCTCTCTGCAATGTGTCCATAACATGTCCAACAGTGTCCCAATTTGTTTGGCTGCGAAAATTCAAAAAAAAAGGGGGGGGGGACACGTTAAGTAGAGTGTCCAACACGTGTCGGACACCCATATGCTGCCTTCATAAAAGTGTCCGTGCTTTATAGGATATACATATCAGTGAATGCTACAGTTAAGAAAAATGGATAAAGTGTCTTTTCAATTTTTTATATTTTTTATTTTGATGAATAACATAGCTATTATAAAGTGTCTCACTGATTTCATCAATTTTGATAAGAAATTGAACATTAGGAGTGTAAAAATGACCCGCGGCCCGTGGGCGGCCCAAAGCCCGCTCGTGGCCCGGGGTTGACCCGGCCCGTTTGGAACTAGTCCCAAGCCTAGCTCGAGACACTAGGCTTGGGCCTGGGCCATCATTTTGAAGCCCGTCCTGGCCCATGAGCTTGGCCCGCTTGGCCCGACCCACCAACCCGCTTAAAGCCCAGCCTAAGGCCCAATGTCATTTTTAGTGGAAAATAATAAAATTTTGGTTGAAAAAATAACAAAAAACAAAAAAATTTGTTCAGGCCCGCCCAAGCCCGAACCCAGGCCCAGACCTACCCAAGGCCCCGAATATCCCTGGGCTTGGGCCTGGGCCTAATTTTCTAGCCCGTAGGCCGGCCCGGCTTGGCCTGGCTTGAATTTTGGTGGGAGCCTACGAGGCCCGACATGGGCCAGACTAGGCCTGGGCTGAGCCGAGCCAAATTTACACCCCTGTTGAACATGAGTTTTGAAAAAATTTCTCTTCCTTTGGCCATTTCATACAATGTTTTACACTTTCAATAATCTAAATAAGTACTAAGACTTTTTTTTCCCTCAGTTTCTTTTATTTTCTCATATCATCTCAATCCAAATGGTGTGTATGTGTGATTACACATGCTTAAGAGAAGCTATGTTACTATTTTTTTTTTTTTTTTTTTTTTGCTCTTGCAAAAACATTAGTACATAAAAGGATAAAAGGATGAGGAAATAAAGCTCGAACCCAAGAACTGTGTCTTACGAAAGGATGCCCTTGTCCCTACCAATAGGGCTAAGCCTAGCTTTAGCAGTTATGGTTAAATATGCCCACATAATATTATTTGAAAGGGCATGGCTTCTCTCTAATTAAACTTTCAACTAGACCAGACACTTGAGATTTTCATCCGTAAGAATCATTAAACGAAGGTTTCTTACCAGTAAGAGTCATTAAACGGAAGACTCTTACTGGTAAGAATATTTGAAAAAATTTAATTGGGTCATATTTTCATAGACGCTTACCTATAAGAAACCTCTGTTTAATGTTTCTTACCGATAAGAAACCTCAACTATTTGGTTCAGTTGAAGGTTCAATTGAAGAGAAGCCAAATTCTATTTGAAATTTGTTAATTGCAAATTTTTCTTTGTGCTTCTTTCGATTTTCCTTAATTACGGATGTAAGGTCTAGGGAAAAAAATGGTTAAATATACGAAGATAATATCACTTCAAATTTATCAATTGTTTGGATATCAACTTGAGTAAAGGAAAACATCTCAAAATTCTACAGAACTTAAAGAAATTTGTATCAAAATGTTCTTTGAATCAATGGGAAGGAAAACATCTTGTCACACCCCAAACCCGCCCCTAAAAGTTTGGGCGTGATCACTTCAGAAACGGACATTAAATTCGGTATGTATAACATATGGAGCCTGAACGGAAGCAGTTAACAATATAAAATAACATCCATTGAGCTAATACTAACATGCCAGGATCACAAACACCGCATCAGGTAGATAAATGTACAGTGAACATACACATGAGAATCAATTATGCACATACACATATACAGACCCAACCCCACGATTGGGCGTGTAACAAAAGCATCGGTGAAAAGAGTGTTATACATGCTAATTACATTAGACAAAAGATGAAGGACCAACTAGGGGTCATTAGGGGAATCCCACAAAATGCATAAGCTACTCTAAATAGCTTGACCAAAATGGAGTAACCGAAGCCGAACTAAGACCGACCTCCAGATTGATTGCCTACAGAAACAGACATAACACAAAGTGAGCCAAGCTCAGTGAATAATAGTACTCAGCAATTCAATGATTAAACTTGAATTATAACGTATATAAGTACAGAGGTTATGCGATCAAGCTTATTTTGTAAATATGTTCAGTACGGCCTCGGGCCCAAACTTTATTCAGAGCGGCTTCAAGCCCAGTAATATACAGAACAGCCTCCGGCCCAACAAGCTTTACAGATTGACCTTTGGCCTAACAGACTTTACAGATTGGCCACTGGCCTAACAGATTTCACAGATTGGCCTCAGGCCCAACAGAGTTTACAGATCGGCCTTAGGCCCAGATATCAACAGAATAGACTAGTCTCAGAGTCATACAGACGTTCACAGATTTTTCCAAACGTTTACACGAGGTAACACAGTTGTCTTGCGATTAACAGAGTGCTAATAATAATCATTAGCGATAAGTAAAGTGTACTACTACAGTACTATTACTCACGGTGTTGTGGTGGAGTGGCAGTTGCTTCCGGTATGTGCCCTACATACACACACAGTTCAAGAATTAGTTCATTTTCCTTTTAATCATTTTCTGATTTGTTTCGCTTCAACGAATTTACAAACATTTAAGAGGCATCAAATATAGATTTTAATAACATCAGAGGGTTAAACAGGCAAAACAGAGCGGACAGAATTTTCCAACATGGGCCGCACGTGCGGCTATGAGTCCCCGCACGTGCATATTTTTCAGTGTCTTCAGTCCAATTTTCCCCTGTTTTCCGCACGTGCGGCCATGGCCTCCGCATGTGTGGCAGTGCTCTCGCACGTGCGGCCATGACCCTCGCACGTGCGGCGATTTGCCCTATTTTGCAATCCGAAATTCAAGCAAAAAACCCAATTTTGGTAAGCATTCACAAGGCTCAAAATTGGTCCATTAATTGCTAGAATATGGTTCAAAAATCACGTAAATAGGAATTACAAACATATAACAATCTGAATATGGATTAGATCTTTAATCCTTAAAACTCATAACATAACTCAATTCCATGAGATTTCCAACTTTACACACACATAGACATATACACACATGGCCATTTGTCTACATAATTGAGCTCAAGCCTGTCAATTGAAGAAATGAGATGTAATTCTCACTAGATAGTTCAATATAATCCCAAATCAACCAAACACAAGAAACATTATTCCAATTAATCACTTAACACATGCTTGATCTATATTATAAACCCTAACTTACATAATATAGAGGAATTCCTACTCAATTCAAAGAGAGGGGTCAATTAGAATGGGTTAAACATACCTTGAGTTAAAATCTCTATAAACCCTCTTAATTTTCCCAATTTCTTCCTTGAAGAACTTTTCCTCTTCCTCTCAAACTCTTTTCTTCTCTAACTCTCCCTCTCTCTTAGGAGATTGTATAAGGCTCTAAGTCAAATGTTTAAAGAGCATTGATATATATATATATATATATATATAAGGTGAATAAAGACGAAAATCAATCAATTTAATCATTCCAAATTGAAATTTCACAGAAAATCATATTATGACTTAAAAATCATGCTGATCTCAAATGCAAAATCAATTTCAGATTATTAAGCTTCTAAGGCCTTCAATTTTTGATCCAAACATTAAAATTGTAACAGATTTTGCTCCTATTAGACAGATACGAATCCATATTCATAAGATTCACTTAATTATACTTAATTTCACATAAAATTTCACAGTAAGCATTTAAATGCACAGAATGAGGGACTGAAAGTATACTAGAAACACATACGAGGGTCGAGTTATTACACATCTAATACTCAAAATGAGTTCTAAACATCTGCTGTGATTTGAACAATCTTTTTTCCAATGTTATCACCGCTAAAAAGTGCCATAAAAGCGGTTGGAATGCTTTCCACGCCATGTGAAATGTCCTCGAGCACCTTCATTTTCCCATTGCGAAGGTGATCAGCAGTTGTTGAGAGGAAATCTGCATAAACATTCATATAATCGGTACTTAAGAAGCCTTGGATAGTGATTCTCTTATAAACAACATCAATCATGTCCGGTGCAGCTCGTTTTGTGACGTCTGTGTACTGAGAGATTACCCCACAAGCTGCAACTCTACCAAATAGGTTCATGTTGGAAACTGCAGCTTCAAGCATATCAGCTCCCACATTGTCAAAATATATGTCAATGCCATCAGGGAAGTACCTGTAAAATAAATAAATGTAGTATATAATAACTTGAACTTTTTATGGAGAGAATATATAATTGTTTATAGGGCACTTTGGCCACTTGTTCATTTTTAAACTTTTAGACCAATATCTCCAAGTTTTAGTCTTTTGGAGTTAAAATGATATCTATTTGTCTAAAAAGACACATTGTCCAAATCCTACCTATCTGTCTGTCCAAATGTCATTAATCTGTTCATCTATCTATCCAAATGTTACACAAGTACACACACACACACACACACACACACACACACACATATATATATAAGTGTGTGTGTTGGAAGTGATTCCAAATTTCCTTCATGTTCCTTGTCCCACATTGATTTCTTATTAGTTTTCTTACACCTTTTATACGTAGACCTTTGTTATTGGGTAAGGGCCAAGACTGTAGGGGAGACTATGCAAGATTTGGGCCATATGTATGAAGTTCATATATATATATATACATGCATGCTTGTTGGACGGGCGTGCATGTGAGCTAATACAGTATATATATGTATTTTTCCCTCTCATTGATTTTCTGTAAGATTCATTTCTATTTGTAATTAACTATAATTAAGTAATTAACTATCTGTTTCATAATTCAAGGGATTTTGACTGATTCATAATTCAAGGAATTTGTTTGATCAAATCCTTGATTTATTCTTACCTTACTTTCAAACTTGGAATTACATATATACATATTTCTAGTAGTTTAATATACAGAAAGAGTTCTCTTTTCTTCTCTGTTTTTCCCACACAGTTTCTTGGTTTCTTTGGATTATTTCTTAGACGAGTTCAAGTCTTGCTTGGTGAGTGCACACCATCAAGACTCGCCGTTGTATCCAGGAGAACGACCGCCAGCAGCTATTTGCACCAAGTGGGGTGAAATCGTTTCTTAAGGACAGCAGATTGACTTCCGTGCCTCGGTTCCATTCTTTCTCTATTATGTATTCTGCTTTATCTTCTAGTAGCTATTTCAGTTTGTTAATCAAGCAGAGTTTTTATATATTTTTCCAACAATCTTAAGAAATGATTTTGCATGATTAATAAACATGAATTTTTTTTTTTGTTGTTGTTTCTGTTGTTTGTGATATGACCAAACTAGAACCCTTTAATGGAAATCACTACAAATGCTAGTCTGAAAAAAATCTATTTTTTCTCATGTCTCTCAATGTTGATTACGTTCTGTTTAATGATCAAATTCCTAATGATGTTTTCAAATCAGCTCGAAGTGAATTCATTCATTTGTATGACAAAGATAACAAAATCTGTCATGGTCATATTTTGAATTTTCTTTCCAACTCTTTGTTTGATATATATTGTGGTTACAAATCTGCAAAAGAGATTTGAGAATTTTTGAAAAGAAAATATTCAATAGAAGATGCTGGTACAAAGAAGTAAGTGGTGAGCAGATTTTTAAACTTCAAGATGAATGATGAAAAATCTGTCATCGAGCAAATTCATGAATAACATAATATAGTTCATGACATTTTGGCCGAACAAATGAACTTAGATGACACCTTTCAAGCTATGGCACCTATAGAAAAGTTGCCACCATCTTGGAAGGATTACAAAAATTCTCTCAATCACAAGAAAAAGGACCTCAGTTTGGAAGAAGTTATTGTTCATGTTCGCATTGAAGAATCCAACCGGATGAAAGACAGAAATGAATATGCTCATGAATTCACATCAAAAGCAAATGTGGTGGAGGTGAAAAATACAGCAAGACAACATAATCACCATCATTCACACTATGGGAGGAACTTCAACAAAAAAAATATATATATATGTAAAGAACAACAACAACAATATCTACAACAATCACAACCACAACAATCATTTTAGAAAACCCGATGGAGTTTTCAAGAAAAAGAGAGGATCTTGCTTCGTTGTGGTAAGATTGGTCATCATGCTTCGAAATACAACAACTGGAAAGGCAAGGAACCTCACCAACAGAAACCACAAGAGAACTTGACTGAAACTGAAATAATAGCAACGGTTGTGTCTGAAGCAAATCTTGTTGGCAACATGGTTCAATGGGTGGTAGACACTAGGGCTACCCTCCTGTAGCAATAGAAATATATTTGCTACATATCAGTCTATTGGTGATGGTGAACATGTTTACATGGGAAATGCTAGCACTACTCACGTGGTTGGTAAGAGAAAAATTCTACTTAAACTCACTTTCGGTAAACCTCTTGACCTAAATGACAATTTTCATGTGCCGGATATGCATAGAAATTTAATTTCTAGATCCCTTCTTAACAAGGTTGGTATTAAATTCATGTTTGATTCTGATAAACTTGTGCTAACTCATAATGGGGATTTTGTGGGAAAGTGAAATTGTAATGGGGGTTTATTTGTGCTGAATATTGTCTCTGAAAATGCTAATAAAGCTAGTGCTTCCTTTGCTTATATTGTTGAGCCTATTGATTTGTGGCATGCTAGATTAGGGCACGTAAATTATATTTCAGTTAAAATAATGAGACAATTAAATTTAATTCCATATTTTAAAAATTGTGACACATACAAGTGTGAAATTTGTGTAGAAGCTAAATTTAACAAGAAACTTTTTAAATCTGTAGAAAAGAATTCAGAAGTCCTAGAGCTTTATACATAGTGACTTGGGGGACTTTAAAAATTATATGAGCAGAGGAAGTAAAAGATACTACATAACCTTTGTAGACGACTGTTCTAGATTCACTAAGGTATATTTGTTAAGAAATAAAGATAAAGCAACTGAGCATTTTCTGAAATACAAGGTTGAAATTGAAAACCAACTAGATAGGAAAATTAAAAGAGTTAGATCTGATTGGAGAGGGGAATATGATAGCAATCAACTTAAATTGATGGCATAATTCATGAAACCATTGCACCTTACACTCCTAAACAAAATGGGATAGCATAAAAGAAACATAGAACACATAAGAATACGATAAACGCAATGCTAATTAGCTTTGGACTAACTTCTAATATGTGGGGGGAAGCAATATTTTCAGCATGTCACATTTTAAATAGAGTTCCACAAAAAAGAACGCATAAAACCCCTTACGAACTTTGAAAAAAACATGCACCAAATCTAAAATATCTTAAAGTGTGGGGGTGTTTAGCCAATGTCGGGCTTCCAAGTATTAAAAGAGGTAAAATTACTCTTAAAACCATAGACTGTATTTTCATTGGTTACGCTCTAAACAGTGTTGCCTATAGATTTATTATAATAAAAAGGTGAAAAAGATATTATGGAAGCTAACAATATAATGAAGGCAAAAGATGCAGAATTTTTTGAACATATATTTCCTATGAAACAACCAATTCCTAAACAAATTCATGCAGCTATTCGGCCTAGTCTTAAGACCGAGGAAACATCACAAGATTTAAGACGTAGTAAGAGACCTAGAGTGGAAACTAGTTTTGGACCAGATTTTGTAACTGCGTTTATCACTGAAGAAGATCCTAAAACTTATGACGAAGCCATTAAATTCGTAGACGCCACTTTTTCTGGAAAAATGCTATAAATAGTGAACTGGAATCTATAATGGCTAACCATACTTGGGAATTAGTAGACTTGCCTAAAGGATTTAAAACCATAGGCGGCAAGTGTGTGTTTAAGAAAAAAAATAAAAGCTAATGGATCAATAAATAAATTTAATGCTAGACTAGTTGCTAAAGGCTACACACAAAAAGGAGTAGATTAGTTTGGCACATATTCCTCTGTAACTAAAATTTTCACTATTAGACTGTTAATTGCAATAACGTATATACATAAACTAGTTATTCACTAAAGGGACAAAAAATAACATTTTTAAATGAAGATTTAGAAGAAGAAATTTATATGGCTCAACTAGAAGTTTTTGTAATTTGAGGACAAGAACAGAAAGTATATAGACTTGTAAAATCTCTGTCTGGTTTAAAACAACTCCTAAACAATGGCACGAAAAATTTGACAAAACATTAATATCAAATGGATTTGTAGTAAACGAGTCAGATAGCTGTGTTTATAACAAATGCTTTGGTACTTCTTGTGTGATTATATGCTTATATGTAGATGATATGTTGATTATGGATACTAATTTATGCATTGTAAACGAAATCAAGGCTTTCCTATCTTCAAATTTGGACATGAAAGACTTAGGAGAGGTAGACGTTATCTTAGGGGTCAAAGTAATTTGTGAATCAACTGGCTTAGTGTTGTCACAATGACATTATGTTGGAAAACTCCTCAAAAAAAAAATGATACCCTATTAAAACCACATATGATCCTAACCACCATCTTAAAAAGAATGAGGGAGATAGATTTTCACAATCTGAATATGCCAAATTCATTGGTAGTGTTATGTATATAATGAATTTTACTCGCCTAGACATTCCATATGTTGTGAGTAGACTTAGTAGATATACACACAATCCTAACCGTGAACATTGGGCAGCCTTAACTAGACTGTTAAGATACATGAGAGGTACTATGAATATAGCGATCCCGGGTTTACCCTTGTTATACCGTGATCCGGACATGTGTCCGTGGATGTAGGTAGTTGTTTATTATTTTGTTTACATCCTTTTACTTCGTATTTGAGTTATAGGATGTGTTGGGCAGGTTTGTTACAGGTTGGTTGAGTTTAGAAACCAAAACTAGTTGCCCAGATTTTT